GGTTACATTATGATTTTTGTAATTTGTAAACCCAGGCACTGCAATTTCCTTTGTTCAGGAGACAGCATACGTTGTACTCCACCTAAGCCATACATATGAGTCTTTAAAACTTATATCTAAACTTAAGAAATCATCTTAAAACATGCCAGGTTAAGGTGATAAACCATAATTATATGTCCCTGTATTTTAAATTTCTGCTAGTCTTTTCGTTTACAACATTTGCCAATGGTCATGAAATATTAATCAAATAAGACAGTCTTGTGGATCTTTTGCAATATGTCACCCACATTTCAACCTGCAGTTCAAAGAACATCCAAGGCTAGGAGCTAGGTAATACCCATTAATAATAGAAATTCTAGTCTAGATAGAACTACAATTGCCACATTTTGAGGGCATCTTTTCTGTAGGAGCATGGAACTGTTGCATTATGGAAAATCTTAGGCAAGCCTGTACTTTGCTTCACTAATTCCTCATCGTAACAACAATATCAAAAATAAATAGCCAGATTTTAAAAATGCAGATTGATAGAGTTCCAAAAGTGATGGGTTCAAAGTTTGCCACTTACGTATTTCTTCTTTCTCAGGATGGATGCCAGAGACAAGCAAGTTCTGCGCTCCTTGCGCCTGGAGCTGTGTGCAGAACTGCTGGTTGAAGGCCTTGTCATTCAATATCTTTATCAAGAAGAAATTCTAACAGACGACCATATGCAAGAAATAAGGGCCCAAGTTACTAACCAAAGGAAAACTCTGATGCTTCTTGACATCCTTCCAACAAGAGGACCTAAGGCTTTTGAGGCATTTCTAGAATCCTTACAAGAGTTTCCATGGGTGAGAGAAAAACTTGAGTCAAAGCGCAATGAAGTTGTGCTAATGACTCATGCAGGTAAGATTTATTTAAGTAATTAGTAGTTTGAGAATGTAGTTCTTACTATTAATCAAAGAACTACATTAGAATTAGTGCCATGTTAATTTTTTTTTTTAATTGTGTGGGTAGCAACAGTGCTGATTTAATATCTGGCATCTTACCCCCCAAACATGTTCCAGCTCTGCAACAAAGGTTGATCCTGATAAAATGTGCTTCAGATCCAGCATTAACATGTTTGCTGTACCTGTCAGTAACTACTTAAAGAAACCACATCATTTCTACACTCATGTGGTAGTTGCATGGTCCCAGGAATATATATGTGTTGAGTTAGAGAGATGGTAAGGAAATGGTAACATTGCCACCTTAACTCAAGCATGCACTTTCTTGGGACCATACAGCTGCCATGTGAGCCCAGCAAAAGGCATAATTTATTTAAGGTTCTAGTGACAGGTACAGTGAACCTAGCCACACCAGATCTGAAGCCTCTTTCCTGCTTTGGATCCAAATAGTTTGAATATTTCTAATATGTCTGTTTGAATCCATATTGATCATGTAACTTTCAGTGATAGATCTAAAAAGGGTTTTACAGTCCTTTATTTTATTGACTTAATTCCATGAGCCATGAATCTAGTGTGCTTATATGTCTTTCAGCAGAACAGATCACCAACTTGGAATCCCATTGAGTGAATTGCTGTTTGCATTTTGTCTGTAGAGGTGTGGTGGTCTAAAAGGAATTAGTGAGGCTTTGTATCTGTTTCCGCTGACATTTGTACAGGTCCTTGATGGTGAACTCCTCAAGTGATGCCAAATTCACTCAGGTATTCTGAGTGAGAAGTATAGCAGGAGTTATATTAGGAGATTCTGGATCAGTAGAGACAGGAATCAGAGGCCTTGAATTAATAATAGCTGTGACCTTAGCCAAAAGGGGTAGTCAAAACATCGTAGCTGAGTTGAGTGAGACCTGTATTTGACAACATAGAGACTGGGATGCAATGGGCAACACCAGTCATACACTTTGAGGTTATGAGTGAAGTGGTTAAATACCCAGGTACAACTTTAGTTAAATTAGGTAGTTGTAGGTACTGATATTATTTGGATTAGTGGTTTCAATCTAGTTCCACACAGGTACCAATGAAGTCAGAGCTTGAATGCTTGACTGTCCCTTTAATGGGCATTAATGAAACCTGAAGTACCTATTGACTCAGTGACTTCATATACATGAATGTTAGAGCCTACCATTTGCTGTTTGCCTCTGTCCCCCTGGTACAGCAGGAGGTGACTATCCATGGTCTAATAACATTGTCCCATGTAAGAGAAAAGAAGCTCTTTGCAAACTAGATCTGCTGACAAATCTAGCATTTTTGCTGTTCATTTCTGCCTCTCAACTTGAGGTATTTGATGCACTTGTAGATTACTGAAGTGATACAGTCCTACAGTTATAATAGCATCCTCCATGAAATGGTATCAGTGGTGTTTCACCTGTTTGCCATTATAGTGATGTACAAGTAAAATATTAATATAGTGCTTTTAAAAAAAATTATTAGAATTTTACAATACAATAAAAGTATAAAAATGAAAAGAAAAATAATTTAAAAAGATAGGAAATAAGACAAAAGAAAGAAAAAAATGAAAAAGAAAGAAAGAAAACATAGAATTTTGACTTCCACTGTTCTTTCTATCCAGTAATT